GACCTCGAAACCCAAATGTGAGTTTATTTGGTATCTCTTGTCGACTGAGATTTGAGAAAACAGTTTTTTTTGACTCCCAAAACCCCCATTCCAATCAACCCAATCAATTCCTCTCTAGACAATTTGATAGGGAAAACAAAACGGCCGAAATTGTGATGCTGCAGGCAGATTTGTGAGTTCTTTTAAGAAAAAGGATTGAGTATTTGTCTAAAAAATCTGGAGTAAAGTTTTTTGAAGAAATTCAGAAATCGAACGAGAGATCTGTATCGGGATGGATGGGCGTATTTGGAAAAAACCGCTTCTTGGTACAAGGTTTGATGGGTGTTTTGAATTAGGGCTATCTTCGTTCCAAGGTTATCGATCAAAATATGACATTTGGTGAGGCCGTGGCGGATTGTGCGAGTCGAAAGGGCCATTTAGTCTCAATTCACAGTCAGGAAGAGAACGATTTTGTTCATGAACTTGGTAAGAAATCGAAATGATTCAATTCTGAAAATTCCTGATTTTCATAGAAATTTATGCTTTATAAACCAAAAACAATCGAGCTTTATTTCAGCGAAAACGGTTGATTCGAATTCTCACTTCTGGATCGGACTGAAGGTTGAATTTTTCTGATTGAAAGCAATAAATAAAAAGAAAGTAATGATTCTTTCGGCCATTGGCTCTTGGTGAAAAGATGATTCGTTTGACTGAGAGTTCTTTGATGGAAATAATGGTTTCAATTGGGAAACTAGAATAGTTTTAAAATTTGAAAAAATTCGCTTGAAATATCAACAGTGAAACGTAAAAATTTCTTTATTCAGAGAAATCCGAAGAAAGAAAATGCTTTTGAATGGACGGATCGGAGTCCTGTGCAATTCACGAATTGGGTGGTTGCAGTTTCGTTGTTTGGTTCGAGCGTTCGAACGGATACGAAGACCCACGCTTATGTGAGATTTTCGACGTGAAATCATCAATATTTATTCCAATTTCCAATGCATAATTAAACCAAAAATATTTCAATCAATTTGAGGAAATTTCCTTTTAGAAATAAGGCAAAGTGTTATATCAAAGGATTTCCATCAGAAATGAGATGGGTGAGATTTTGAACGTGAAATCATCAATATTTATTCCAATCTCCAATGCTTGATTAATCCCAAAATATTTTGATCAATCTGAGGAAATTTCTTTTTGTGAAATAACGCAAAGTGTTTTATCAAAGGATTTCCATCAGAAGTGCAAACATTTCAGCTTTGGAGCGGCGATGGGACATGGGCTAGCTCTTCTCCGACCATTCAGCGTCGTTGTATCTGCAAAAGGAGCTTTCAATTCTGATAAATACCTTATGTACCTTTCTCTGGACGAAAACGAATAAATCTAATTTTATTCAGCCTTCGGAAAACACAACTGCACATTATCTTTTCTTGTATTTCTGAATTGTTTCTTCAAAATCTCTTAGAAAAAGTCTGATGAATTTCCTGTGTTCTTTCGGACCAAAAGCAATAAATCCCATTTTATCCAGTCTTCTGAAAACACACAATTGCACATTATCTTTTTCTTTATTTCTGAATTCTTTGTTCAAAATCCCATATAAAAAGTTTTCCCAAAAGAATTCCGCCTAAAGCTGCAAGTATTTTGCTCTCTCTTCGCTCGTGAATAGGCTATTAGATAAACGTGTTGAACATCAATGGACATCAGCATGAGGAAACTGATAATCCTTCGTGAAGGTCGCTCTTCTCCTCCCTCAACTCGTCGATTTGTCTTTGATTTTTGTTCCGGAAGTTCTCAAAAATTCGATTTATGCTTTTTTTCGACTCACTTTTTTCCGTAGGTTCCGTAGGCGGAGATTTTGATCTCTTTTTGGCCAATATTAGCGATTAAGCAAGTGAGAATGTATGTATGTATTGTAGATTTAATGAGCTGTAGATGTCTTTAGAGTCAAAAACCGAATGAAATCCTATTTTCAGATGAAATTTGTTCGATGAAATCATTAAGCTATGTACATATCACTACATTATTTCAACAAGCTTTCTGGCAAAATGGTCGACTATATAAGGTGCCCGCTAGTGATGTCAAACTGAAAGTAATCACAATGGATTTTGTTCGAAATTCCCCATTCATTTGCCTCGCGATGTTCTCGGCGACGTTTGCGAAGAATTACGTGTAGCTAAGCGGATTTCTTTGTCCAAATCCAAAATCTCTTTGAGGCACGAGTAGCGAGTGAAGAGGTACAGCGAAAGAGGGGCAGTTCGAAAATCGCTTTGAGTTTAACAAAGATCTCTTTTCAATCAAAGGAGTCCCTATTAGTCCAAATTAACTAGAATAACGGCATAGATCGAAAGCTCGGCGTCCCGTGGTTGGATCAAAGTTATCATGGAGATCAGAAAAGACAGAAACCCGCGTGGGCTTGATTGAAAACGTTATTATTGTGGGTAATTATTAAATGAAGAAAGCTAATGTTCATTGAAAGACAGTAAGAGAGTAACTTTTTCTCAAATTTAACTTTCGAAAATGTTTTACTTGGGAGAAACCCACTGTGAGATACAAGAATTTTTCTCAAAACAGCACCTGGGGGATAATGTGAAGAAAATGTAGGCAAACAACCGAATTTCTATCATTTCGCTGTAAATTTGAGCTGTAATAGCGTATGTTTGTCAAAAAAAAATGATTATAAAACCCAGCAAATATTTCTAGGGTTTGTGTCTAAATTCTTATCGAACTACTCGACCTTTTCCTTCAAAAAGACTATAGGCGATTCCAAGTGACTTTTCGACTTTCTAAGCCTTACTCTACACATAGAAATGAGTGTGAAAAATCACAGAATTCCCCTTTTTAAAGGAAAACTCATATTTGGAAGCAGAAACCACAAGAAAAGAAACTTTGTAAACATTGTCAAAAGCCTACTATTTGTTTACCATCATTCACTTTTGATGTTCTTTTCTCGATGAATTGTTTCTTTCCATTTATTTCACTTACCGTATTCTCTCTAATAGAGCGTTGCCTAAATTGGTCGAAATCTCGAAAACCGCTTATCAGAACCTATCGATCTGGGTTCGGAAAATGTAGCGGATGATGAGATCTTGCGGGGGATTAGAGTGTTGAGCTTCTGGGAAAACTTCAAAACCGTGATATCGTCATCAACATCAACTCAACAACGCGGAGTGCACCATTATTAGAGATTACTATTATTAGTTAAGATTTATATTTCTGATTTTTCTTTTTATCTTTGTTTTCTATCAACTATTTAAACATAAAGCTTTATTGATATCTAATATTAGTTTGAGATATCACAGTTCAATATCACAATCCTCTATGCCGTTTCAATGACCTTTTGATGGATGAACAGTCACGGTGATCGAATTTCTTGTCCTTGCCGGCTTTTCTTTCGGTTTACGGAGGAAAAGTGCGGTGATTAGACTGAAATGAAAAGATTTCTGCTACAATAAACATTGTAAGTGTTAGAATGAGCTTAATCTGCAGTAAAATGTGATTTTGTGCACAAACCTTAAAACAAGGTTGAAGAGAAAAGCGTGGCTGAAATCACGAACAGACATCAACATATTGGCAACATCCCAGTTGAAAAATAAATTCGAAACGTTTCCAACGAAAAAGAAACCAATAGTGTAAGTGAAAGTAACCAGAGAACTGATGATCATCTAAAGATCATGATCAAGAGAAGTAAAGCCTTCACCAACTTGGGTCATCAACAACACTTCTGCTCGGCTGGCGGGGCTGCTGTGTTTTAGCTAAAAGTGCTTTGAATCAAAAATTGTATTGCCAGTTTTCTGGTGCAGTTGGCTTGCTTTTGCCTTAATCGTGCCTGTATATGATCTTTATTGCTTTCCTATTTCAACCTGGCTTCAGCCTGTCTGGTATTGATTCCAAAGATGTTCTAGCCGGGTTCCAAAAGCCACATCCTTGCCTGGCCTTTGCGCGAGAGTCCTGAGTTTCCAGGAACTGACTTCTGGCAGGTTTAACATTGTTTGGTCTAGTTTAGCTTCCTTCCTTTCTTCCTTCTTCCTTACTTTCATCTTCCTTACTTTCTTCTTACTTTCTTTCTTCAGCTGCTAATATTAAAAAGATATATGGGGAGGACTCACCTTCCGAAAGAACGTGTCGAGTATGGTTTGCCAAGTTTCGATCTGGGGACAAATCTTTGAAAGATGCAGAGGGCCGTGGAGCGGCACCCCAACTGGATGATTCGAAATTACTCGAACTCATTACCAACGGCCATCGGGTATCATTGCGTGAATTGGGAGAAGAGTTAGGGGTTGATCATGTTACAGTGCTAAATCACCCCAGGGCAAGTGACCCCAAGCCCGATTTGCACCAGGAGAAGTTTATGCTCTGCGTTTTCTGGGATATGGAGGGAGTGGTGTACTGGGAGTTGCTGGATAGCAAGACGATCCTTAATGCAATCAAAGACAGTGAACAGTTGGAAAAGGTGAATGAATCCCTGAAGAAGAATAGGCCCTCCAAGTCAAAGATCGTTCTCCTCCACGACAACGCGCGCGAAACCGACATTACTTTGTCGTGAAATCGACATTACTTTTTCTCAACCTAACAAAAATAATTTTCGAAAAAAAGATATTTTTAAGAAAAAGCATTCTTAAGGTAAAAATAGTTATAAATTTCAAATTTTATCTCCGTTTGTCTCTATTTTATTTGTTTCTATCTCAGAAACGAGAGGGGACAAATCTTTTCACGCATCTTGTGTCTAAAGTTTTCAGTCATTGGTGCTTTCCCTCTTCACAACTCCTTTAGCCATCTATTCCGCTGCAACCAACGATAAATTAACACTTCCAATTAGGTAAAGATTTTCTTGTTTAAAGGATTTCTTTCTTTCAGACTACTTGCAATCGCTGAAAACTTCAATGAGTTTCTTAATGCAATGACGGTCACAATTTCTTGTTATTGCTTAGTGATGCCAGAGTTTCAGTAAGTAAATCATGAGTTGCTCTTTTAATAAACTGTACTTTACAATATCAAGTACTCAACCTAATATTTAGCTGTCCTTATAAATGGTTCTTTGGCTTTCACAAATCAACTCGTTTTATATTATTCGTTATGGTGTCAGCGATATGTCTCAATATTGTCAATTTTGCATCTCGTTGAGGTTGGTCATGCGGTTACTCGATTCTATTTACGGTTATTGGGTCCAGCTTACAAGAAAAATGATATTCAAACTTGACACCGATCTAATTGTAAGAGAAAGTAGCTTGGCACCAATCTAATTCAAAGCCAAAGCCAGCCAGCCAACCTACTTTGCGCTCAATTTTTTTTGCCAAATTTTTTGTGCAACTGGGTCTTTTCCCCAACTTGCCATAACTTTCTTCTAAGTAGGTTAATCATAAGGGTTAGCCTAAGCCTAGTTGCACATTAACTTTGGCGCAAAAAAGTAGCCACCCCCAAAGCCAGCTTCAATACGGTTTTGCAACTATTAAGAGCAGGAAAACAAAGCAAAAGGTAATTGGGTGTGGTTTAGAGTTTTACCCTGAGAAAACTGTAACTTTTACATTACCTTTAAATAACGGAAACCCATCTGATGTTAACTATTTCAGTCGTTTCTTTGCTCTTGCTTTTGACGGTGCCTATTTCCGATACTCAATGCGATTGCCTTATCTCCAAGTTCTCATACCGTACGCCCTTCGATTTGCGATCGGTTATTTGGGTGAACTCTGCCAAGAACTGCTTTATGATGGCTGGATGTACTTCTACGATCCATTCGTCGTTTACGCTCCATATTTTCTCACTTGTGCCCTCGATTTTGTTATCAGTCGTAAAATGAAAAAGGTTTGTCTTGGTGGGATGGAAAGTACTCGTAATTGTTCCGATTTGACTCAATTTTCGATTGTGAGAAGTTTCCTTTTACCAAAAAACTTTGGAAGTACATTTCCTTGACTCATTTTAGAGCCCGATCTTCGATAATTCAATTCCTAGAAGAAATCCGAAAACTCAATCAAACGGATGAATTAGGATTGAAAGTTGAGAAAACCATAAAAACGCAGAGATCAAAAACCTGGCTTTAATACGTACTTGGGGGAATCAGGAAATGGTTTTGGTCTGGTTTTGGCCTTATCTCCGTCAAAAGTTCATCAAGTTCCAAAAGCAAAGATTCCTGGAAACTCAGGAACCTTGCAAGACCTGCAGTAAGGCCAGATTAGGCAAGCGCAAAGGCCAGGCAAGGATGTGGCTTTTGGAACCCGGCTAGAACATCTTTGGAATCAATACCAGACAGGCTGAAGCCAGGTTGAAATAGGAAAGCAATAAAGATCATATACAGGCACGATTGAGGCAAAAGCAAGCCAACTGCACCAGAAAACTGGCAATACAATTTTTGATTCAAAGCACTTTTAGCTAAAACACAGCAGCCCCGCCAGCCGAGCAGAAGTGTTGTTGATGACCCAAGTTGGTGAAGGCTTTACTTCTCTTGATCATGATCTTTAGATGATCATCAGTTCTCTGGTTACTTTCACTTACACTATTGGTTTCTTTTTCGTTGGAAACGTTTCGAATTTATTTTTCAACTGGGATGTTGCCAATATGTTGATGTCTGTTCGTGATTTCAGCCACGCTTTTCTCTTCAACCTTGTTTTAAGGTTCGTGCACAAAATCACATTTTACTGCAGATTAAGCTCATTCTAACACTTACAATGTTTATTGTAGCAGAAATCTTTTCATTTCAGTCTAATCATCGCACTTTTCCTCCGTAAACCGAAAGAAAAGCCGGCAAGGACAAGAAATCCGATCACCGTGACTGTTCATCCATCAAAAGGTCATTGAAACGGCATAATTGTGATATTGAACTGTGATATCTCAAACTAATATTATATCTCAATAAAGCTTTATGTTTAAATAGTTGATAGAAAACAAAGATAAAAAGAAAAATTAGAAATGTAGATCTTAGCTAATTACCGTATTCTTTCTAATAGTAGTGCACCCCGCGGAGTCGAGTTGATGACGATTTTACGGTTTCGAAGTTTTCGCAGAAGCTCAACACTCTAATCCCCCACAAGGTCTCATCATCAGCTACATTTTCCGACCCCACATCGATAGGTTCTGATGAGCGGTTTTCGAGATTTCGAGCAATTTAAGCAACGCTCAGGGTGCACTACTATTAGAGAGAAGCCGGTTGTTGTTTTGAAGAAGTGCCAAAAGGCTGAATAGTCTGAATTCAATAGTTCGGGGTGTGACCGACTTCAATCTTACCATTGGGGATGATTTTGTTTCAAAAGCCGAAAAGAACAAAAGGTTAAACGGGTTCCCCCAAAACCCACACAATATAACAAGGATACGCAATATTCAGCATAAGGCCCGCTCGTGATACAAGTACACAACGGATTCACGCTTCGTCAACACAAACATTATCAATTCTTTCTATAATATTAGATCAGCTATCCAAACAGAACCTAGAACCTTAAAGATAGGGGCAGAGGAAAGCCACCGATCTCAACACCGCTCTCATCGCGCATTTTCGGGACGAGGTGCAATTGTGGGCTGATGAATCTATGTGATGCTAATGATACAGATAGCCGAAGGCATTGTGTCTCTTTTCTGTTGTCCCTGGAGCTATCTGTTCAGAAATCGTTGAGAGGAGTCTGGTCAGTCTCCTGTTTGTTTCGAAGAAAAAAAGAATAAGTTTCAATCAATGTAGAACTCGGTCAAGTAAAACATTTCAGACTCTCGACGGTCTCGTCTACATCGCTAGAAAGCTGCAATTCAATGAAGACTTGTACCTGGGCTGAGCGCCCGAGAATATTTGACCTCAAAGCGGCAAGGTTGCCAATTCTACGATCCGGAATACATCGAAATAAGTTGAATAAATGACTTTTCCTTCAATTTAGACTTAGAACCTTGTTTGCGAGGTCGATTGGTGCCAGAACATTTACTTTGAGTCTCAGCAAAACATGTGTACATGTTAGTAGTTGATTTCAAATGATCTCTTCGAAGTGGAAAGAATCGGCGCTAGGTATGTCGAAATAGGGCATCGAAGATCACATAGTTTCCACCCAGATTCAGCTAAGCGATGGGAAAGACAAGACAAACACAAAGGGGTATATATTGACATACCACATCCATTTAATGTCAATCCTCTCATTTTAGTCGCGCCCGCAAAGTGTGGAAACCACACAAACTCGAAGTTGATCATCATGGGCTTTTTTTCGTTTTTGTGAAGTTTGGGAGAGAACTAGATAGATTCTCTCCCCACCTTCACAAAAATCAGACCCAAATCATTTCGACGTGTATGCCGGAGAAAATCAGTTCCGAGCTTTTGGATTCAAGTGGGTTGACAAGTCCAGAGATAAACTAGTAGAAATGCGTTCTTGACCCACTGGCAACATTTCCTCAAATCGAATCTTACAAACACGGCGAGCACAGCGTCGATTCGGGATACTTCAAGAATGGCGACTTCTAAAGAAAGTGATTGATGATCATTGTTCGAAAGCATCCCTCTTCATTACGATGATTTAATAACTACCCACAAGAATAATTTTTTCATTCAAGCCCACACGGGTTTCTGCGTTTTCTGATCTCCGAAAAATCTCCGCCTACAAAACCAACAGTGAGAACAAAAAGGGAAAAAAAACTCAAAGACAAATCGACGAGTTGAGGGACGAGAAGAGCGACCTTCACGAAGAATTGTCAGTTTCCTCATGCTGATGTCCATTGGTGTTCTATCTAATAGTCGATTCAGAAGCGACGAGAGAGCAAAATACTGGCAGCTTCAGGCGGAATTCTGGGTTTTTGGGAGAACTTTTTATATGAGATTTTGAACAAACAACTCAGAAATAAAGATAATGTGCAGTTGTGTGTTTTCAGAAGATTGAATAAGATGGGATTTATTGGTTTTTGTGCCCAATTTAGATGCTTGCAATGATAGATTAACCACTCCAAGTGTTTTTAGGCATCTTACCAAAAGGCTGGTGGGTTCAATTGTACATCAATGTAAACTTAAAGAATCTAGACTCCACCTATTCAAAATTCTATCAAAATCAATGCTATCGTTGAAGAACTCGGTTCAAGCAATAAAGCCTCAAAAATGGCAAGAAAGGTATTGCGCTCGTTGAAAGATAAAAGTGAGTATTCAAAGTTAAATAATAAAACAAAATTAAAACTTTTGGAAAATGAATGGAATGCGGAGATTATTGCCGTTATTTACACAAAAGTTCGGCTTATTCAGGAAAAAGGTGAAATCATCACGGAATTCCGAAATCATCGATATTTGTTCATTTATTTATTTCCAATGTTGATTCAAACATGTTTCTATCAATCACGGAAATCTCTTTTTTTTGTTTTCTTCAGAAATGAACACATTTCAGTTTTCGAGCGGCCATGGGAAATAGACGATCCGGTCTCCTACCCGGCAGCTTCTTCAAAACCTCGTTTCGGCTCTTTGGGCCGTTCAAAACAAGAAAAGTCTAGTTTCGAATCTATTGAATCAGTCAATATTTTCCACAAAGAGCCTGCCATTTCGAAAATGACCGAAAAAGGCATTACTGTGGGGAAGAGCCACTAATAAAAGTTCTCTAATCATGGTAGTCTGAATAGTGGTAAATTATTGAGGAAATCCGAGTCTCCTCATCCTTTTTTGCCCCAAATAATTGTTGTTTTGTAGCAATTTTCGCTGAAATGAATATTGATTGTATTTGGTTGACAACTGATGACTAAACGAATCCCCTTCTTTCTCTCTACTTTCCGTGATAAGGAATCCCTATTTTGCTTGGCAACAAATTTCTTGTTTGATTTTGTCTTCTATCATCAATTATGCCTCTTTAGTAGCTGTTTCCTTTAATTTTCACTTGTTCTTCGGGAAAATTCAGTCATTTTGTAGGCATCCAATCGTCTAGCAACCGAAATGGACAATCTCTCGAATCTTCCTCCTCGATCTCTTCAGAGCATCTCTTCTTTTTCCAAATCTCCAAAAATGCCCGAAATGACTGCAGAATTGCCTGAAAAGAGTGTCAAACGCATAGAAGAACCGGCCATCTCGTTGAAGAAAATCGCCCAACTCGAAGCCGATTTGTGGGTTTTTCGCCAAATCTTTGCTGCTATCCAAAACAGTCTTTAATTTAATCGAAGAATTTAGAGAAGAAATAAAAAAGGACAAAGAGGCCGAGATGAGTCGATTGGCAACAAATATGGTTCAAATCGAGGCGAGTTTGAAAATCGTGAAGTTGGAGGCTGATTTGGTTGACGAAAGGGAGAGAAATCGAGACTTGGAAAGGAAAATCGCCGAGACGAAAAGAAAGAACGACGATCTCGAGGCACAATTGTACTGACTTTGTAATTTCCTTTCAGACAGGCTCAACATGAAATATCCATAAAAATTGGTCTTTTTTTAGCAGCGATCCAAATACGGAAGTGAGAGACGGAAAAGTCACGATTGGAGAGCTCGAAGGGAAAATCAACGCGTTGCAGAGCAAGGACTCTGACCTCGAAACCAAAATGTGAGTTTATTTGGTATCTCTTGTCGACTGAGACTTGAGAAAAGAGTTTTTTCACTCCCAAAAGATCCATTCCAATCATTCCAATCAATTCCTCTATACAATTTGAAAGAATCAAAACGGTCGAACTCGCGAAGGTGCAGACAGATTTGTGGGTTTTTTTAAGGAAAAGGATTTACTGTTCGTTTAAAAAGACGGAAATGTGGGTGAAAACAAGAAATCTTGAAGAATTTAAGCTTATCTTTTTCAGTGAATGTGAACAAAAAGAGAGGAGTGATGAATTCACGAAGATCAACTCGAAATTCTCGCAAAGTGATGATCGATCGATGAAGATTGGGGCTGAATTGAAAGAGATGTGAGTCTTGAGATTCCTTAAAGAAATAGCCCAGGATAAGACACTTTTAGAGATTCCAAAGTCGCCGAAATGTCAAGGGCCATCTACATGAAAATGGCTCGAATTGAGGCGAATTTAATGGGGAAAATCACGCAGTTGGAGGCTGCTTTGTGGGTTCAACAATATTCG